GTTAGAGCAAACACGACTGTATATGACGGGGATAAGGGGTGTTATGGCGTTGGTATGTGCACTGCTCTATGCGGCAAACATATGTTTCGTTTCTATGGAGCGGTGAACATCCGGCTGTATTAACAGATCCAGTCACGGGGTTGTAGGGTAAGCCATTTGGCCAAATTACACGATCTACTCCAATTTTATTGTTTGTCCCTGGACTTAGGTCGCAGCGCATCCCGTGCAAAATGTTGTCCTATTTAGGTCGTTGTTTTTACGTAAATCGCGAGCGGTGCGCGAAAATTTTGGTTTGAATTTGGCGTCACATCACATTTTTCAGTTGCACTATGTCATGACACGAACAATTGTAATCAACAACATGATCATGGTCAACAATATTCAATAACACTCCTATGCGTTTGAACAACTCATAATGAACAATTAACATTGACCGATAGCTGTGTGGGATTGAGCCTGAAAGCAAACCGTTTATATTGTATGCATAAAATTGCCCTGTACGCAAAATGGTGAGGATTAGTTTCTTGTTACAGAGGTGTAGACAATGCATGTGCTATGATTAGGACCGCCATATGCATTTTGTTTTAATTGTTGTTTCGCTGCCCAAGGTGCGCGTAAATTTTCGTTGGATAAATTCATGTTATACTATGCTAGCCGTGTTGACTTCATCTGGGCTGATTTTTTATCGGGATAACAAAGTGATGATCATTATTATATATCATAAAGACGATGATTAGTGACGGCCAGAATGCAAAATAAGTTTTATGTAAATGAGTAACACTGCGCATCACTTAATGATATCATGATCTGCTGCACACAGCAGTACACCTGAAACCTGAAACCTTTGCAACTTCAAAGTCTGAGTTAATCCCGAATCGTTGAATCCCCTCATATGGTAGAAGAATGTAGCTACGTACTTATTCCAGATCACATTGGCCACACGATTCCAGACGAAACTTAAACTTTCTGTTAATATTGCCTGAAAAGTGTAAGGCAGTCAAAATTAATACCACTGTTCCAAGTAATGATGTCATGTACCTATCCGAGTGCAACTGAGCGTGGCTACGTTTTATGTCGCAAGTAATATCTTTTGGCGAAAATAGTTCGTGAAAAAGTAAGTCGCAGACATCGCCTGCCTACGAGCCAGTTAGCTGCAATGTATAAAATGATCACAAAAGGAAAGCATATTGCCGCACAAAGACACCAATCATCATGGTGGAAGCCGGGTTGATAGTACCAGTTTGGTACAGGGCAGCCGACAGTCGTACAGTCGCATGACACGGTAAAGGTCTTTTCACGCTATTTTAATAAGAAACCGAGGCAAAGTGGATCTGTTGAAGATGCATTGCAATAACTGACAGGTGGTTCAAGACAATGAAGTATGTACGCCATGGAATTAGGTTAAAAAAACGCTCTCCTCAACATTACAATTGTCGTTTTCTGTGGGATTTCTCATTTTGTAACTGAGTTGAACCCATGATCAGTTTTATCGATGACGCGCTAAAATAGAAAAGGTTGCCCAGTTTTGTGGCCTTATGATATATTGTAAACAAGAATCAATGACGTCAGTATCATGTTAAGTTTCAGGACAGGAGTCTGGGCTTGCATTTGACGGACAAAGAAGCATGCTTTACTATAATGTTTAAGTTACCTCTTAAATGAGGACATCATGTTGAGGTTGTGACTTAAGTTACCCAGCTGCATCCCCCATGGTGACGCCACTACGACGAAGGATAACAAGGTCGTCTGTGTGTTATTTCTAACTCTTTCCTATGTGTTTGTGACATTCCAACCCAGAATATTGCCGGGGGGGGGCAAACCAACATTGGGGAGAGAGCAACTTAACGTTGGGGGGGGGGAGCATTGCCGTCACAAATGGATACAAATCGACGCCCACGTCCTCGTCTATCAGAATTTATGATTTTATTTGATGACGCCAATCTCAAAATGATGTGTTTAATCCGTTTCCTTCAAACACTGATGGTAGTGATCCTTCGCGCTCATATTATAACCGCGAAAAACTACGAAAGCATACACATTCCATTTACTCAGGACATAGCAAAGGTTACACAACACATCACCAGGAAACTCAAAGTTTTGCATGTAACTACTCATTCAATTCTGAAAAGACAGCATGACTCAAGTATTTCCCTTGCCCAGACTGATCTAAACTGACATACACTTTCCATACCCGAAACATGGCTGTCTAAAGCTCTGACATTCTTTTTTAACGTACCTGGATGTCAAGCTTTCTACTGCAGCAGATTAAAAAGGGTTAGGTAAAGGAGGGCGGGGAAGTCAGCAATGTGCGTTGTTGACAATCTTTATCCTAAACACCTTTGCAATCGACTCGACAGCTGAAGTGGTTTGTGCTTAACTACAACATGATAACGTGGATACTGCTGTTCACAAAAATATAAATCCACAAACACTAGTGAACACCACTTAAGTTAATAACTCGCGCAATGCCTAATTTGGCTTTAAAAATGAAGAAAGTAACATTTATAACTGGTGACTTCACCTTTGACCTGTTCTCACCTAAAATCAGTCCTCATATGCAAACATTTTTCACTAACATGTGCTCAAATTGGCTTATGTCCTACAGCATCCAGGATAACTCGATCTTACTTTACATCACGTACTCTTCTAGATGGCATGTTCTGCAATGACTCATCGAAAGCGATACACACAGGCATCCTTGTAGTGATTGACAAGGCTTTACATTACTGCTAATTTATCTCATCGTTTTCCTATCGTAGTAGTCACAAGCAAGTGGTCACAGATGATCAGGATAGAGCAGTAATTCAATTGTTTCTTCACTGAGCTTCGAACAAGTTATGAGACAAAATCACTTGAAGACATCAAGCACCATAAATAATATATATTAGGGACACCTCATCATCATCATAATCCCGTCACACTGCAGGCGCGATACTGACTCATCGGCCATGGTTCATCAAGGCCATACCGACATACCGACGACATTTACTTTTTAAAGGTGGAGTTTTTCTTGCACACTGCTTGTCGGTTGGTCGCTATGGCTGCTAAATAAACCGTCTTAATATGGTAGGAATGTGACATGGAATTTGATATCGGACGCCAACAGGGCGATGGGACGCAGGGCATTGGCTTAAGAGGCTGGTCAGAGTGGTTAGGGTAGGCTAGGTTTGGTTAGGTTAGATCAAATTAGGTTAGCCTAAATTAACTAGGTTAGGTCAGGTTAGTTTGGGCTAGGTTAGGCTGGGCTAGGTTAATTTACGTTAGGTTAGGTTAGTTGGTTGTTAGGTTGTTACTCTTTGTTGGGTTGGAACTCTAAAGCCTCCGATTACAGGTGGAGGGGCATGAGCAATTACTAAAAGAAATTCAATCGTAGCCAAGAGCACGGCTCGTCGCCCTCTGTAGCTTAATTGGTATAAGCTACTGGCGATCCCAACCTGCACGTAGCGGTATGGGGATTCAAGTCGCTATGTACGCGCTCACAAGAACACATCCAAGATTATCAAACACGGGAGGGGGAGGGCATCCCCGTGAAAACTCATCACGTGAGGGGGGAGGGGGTGGTCCCCTGCATTCTTGATCTTGGCTGCGTCTATGAGCGCTCGGTATTTGATTTCTGACTTGGATGGTCTGTGGCCGACGACAGGCGCGACGAGCTCCTTTGGCTGACCTTTGAGGGCCATGTCTACGCCCCGGGATCGTCCACCGGCTAGCCCCTCGGGCTCTCCAGTCAGGCCCCTGATAGTCTGTGCCGAGGGTCCCGAAAGCCACTCGGGGTATAGCGGGAGGATATGTTCCCTGCCCCGCGTCTGGCTGCACCCCTGGATGCGTAGGTTTGTATGAAACTCCATGCTAGTCTGCGAATCGCTCTCAATACGCAACTCCAACGTGACTTAAGGTGTCTGGGTCCCAAAACATTCGCAAGCTGATGCCAGTTTGGCTTAAAATATGCAGTTTTTTGTTGATGGGCTGCATATTTTAGATCATGATACAAATTCTCGATCTTCGTATTGGTGAGTTGTTTCGTCTATTTGGTAGGACCTCAGCCAGTCTGGTGGATATTATTCTTAGTGGGCATTTCCTTCGTGTCCTTCGTGACTTAGCTAGGCATTCCGGTAACCGAATTGGTTAACCGGTGGCCAAAAAGTGCGTATCGGTAACGATAACCCAATCAGTAGTGGAATGTTCATCCTGGTTGTGATTCATCCCATCTGGTAGAAGTGTCCATTTTGGTCATTCTGAATTAATTTGTGCTGACTGGTTAATAGGGAGTCCACTTCCAACAGTTAGATCTTTCGCCCGAGGCGTGCTCGACATCCGCGGGGAGCGGTTCCCAGACAGACCGACACACTTCCAACCGTCAGATCTCCCGCGGATGTCCTAGTTTGACTTCTTCAATCCGGCCCGTTCCAAACACAAAGTCGTAATTTGCAACATGGGCCGCGCGACGACCGTCGCCATGGCAACGGCACACCTTCGTCCTCGAGCGGCCTTAGTTCCGGGCAACTTCCGACCAATTACGCCCAGCTGAGGGCCCTCTCCGCCGGGCCGGCCCGGTGACGGCAGGATCAAAGGTACCGCTACCAGCACCGGGAAGGGCTGAGGCAGCAGCGCGTGCGGGGCCTGCAGCCGTCCCAACAGGCCACGCCCGCTTTATACGTGTGTGCTTTTGCAAGGCGGGTGTGCACCCCTAAATTGAAGGAAAGGCGTGCTTTCACAGAGAGCTCATGCGGATCTTTTCGTATATATATATATATATATATATATATATATATATATATATATATGACATTGTTCCTGACATCCCTGCATGTTTCCCGCAGACTTCCATAAACTCCTTGGCTTGTAAGCCCTAAGCATCGATACCTTATCCTGCCCAAAGAGGCAATTCGGCCCCGATAAATATTCAGGCTCAGTGTCCCCGTGGCTGCCACAGACGAGCCGGGCCTCAGGTCGCGGCGGCGACGTGGTCCATACTGATGTACGCTCATGTGGACGCAGTATAAAAACATGCGCCAACGGCCGACGTGCAAAGTGTATTAATACGCAAGTCCGGGTGGTTGGTTACATGAACCATCATCCTCTCACAGACGTGCTCAAAAGAGGATCGATCATCTTCTGTCATGTACGTCCGCACGTTCCGGCAACAAAACGCTTACTGGGCACACCTTCAGCTCAGTTCCAATGCTATGCGTCACTTAGTGGTCACCAGTGAAGATAGAGCTACACTGGTGACTATCAGCACATTCGCCATCAGGGGCTGGCAAAAATCCAGTCCCGTGTCACACCATTGCCACCGCGGTGATGTCTCCGGCATTTACAAGTGCCTTATCACAACTATACACCCTACAAGCTGCCCAAAACCAAACGAATACCTTCAGCAAAATACACAATAAACATAAAGTAACCTTATGGCAGCGATGGGCATAACTAGAGAGCATGAAGCACACATGCTTGGTTTGCACCAATGCATTGTGTGAGTGCATCACAAAGTACTTCCCAAGGTAAACGGCAGATTGAAATGAAATCAGCCACACATAATCAATAAGACTAACTTAAAAAGCAAACGAGCGTGCAAGCATAGGTGACAAAGCCGACTACTAACAACAGGTAATAAGCCTAATGACAGACAGACTAGACGTTCTGAGCGTTTCCAACTTGTGTTAGATGGCGCCACCACCGAGACCATCAACTCTTTCCCCAGTCCACGTAACTAGCCGTTCGGCTCGTGTTCGCTAGATGTCAGCCCGGTCAGCCGACTCACTCCGGCAGCAGATCGTCGCCTAGCTCCTCGTCCCAGTCGTCGTCGTCGCAACGGGTGTGGCGGGTGATGCGCTGCTCCAACGGGCCCAGCGGGTCCTCGTAGCGGGCGTCTGGGGTGCCGGTCGGGTGGTAACGGGTCAGAGACGGAGGCGGCGGTCAGGCGGAGCGGCACGCAGTGGCACCCCGGTGAACAAAGCGCGGGGGCGGAGCCGACGAGGCGCCAGCACGTACCATCGCCGAGCCTCTTTGGTATCCGTGACGGTGGGGTGGGCTCTTGGAAGGAGCTGAGTCAATGAACGAAGGTGCGTCAGCATGCATGCAAGCACACAACTTCCACATGCTTGCACAAACGGCCTCCTGTTACACCAAAATATTCATCGACTCCAGAAGAGAGCGTTTGACTTCAATAACTGCCCGTGAATAGAAATATCCGACTCGTCTGGTGATTTTCTACCCGTCTGTACCCGGCTGAGCGTCGGCTCCCCCCCCCCCCCCCCCCCCCCCCCACCGCGTCCAGGTGCGGGCAGACAGGCCAGGCGACGCAGCGTGCTGCTGACTGACAGGCCGGCCGTGCTCTCACGCACACACCACCCGGCCACCGTCCCGGACCGTCCAGGACAGCCGGCGCCAGGCCGTGCGCGACACACACACACACACACACAGCTGTGACGTGCACCACACCAGCACACAGCCAGGCACGGGGCGATTGTGGGGCGACCGGCAGTCGGTGGTGCAGACGTGGCCGACGACACGGGCCGTGACTGCGGCGTCCGGTGCTAACAGTGGAGCGCCTCCTGGGGTGAGGTCAACCCAGCCAACCGACGCACCCACACACTGGCCGCACTCAGACTGATCGGTAAACAAACACACGCCGGTGCAGCGGCCCACAAGCCGGACCGAGGTCGCCGAGCCGACCGAGCACGGCGCGCGGTGCGTCACGCTAATGCCAGGCTCGCGTCGTTACGGCGTGGCGGGCGGTGCCGTGTCAGCATGCAGCCTGTGGCGGTCTGACGGCACCCAGGCCCTGAGTGGACAGACCGCACGGCCCAACCGACCCCCGCAGAGGACAGGGCGCGTGGCGTGGACTGGTGACGGGGAGCGACGACCCTCGTAAGGCGGCCGCCAGCGAGCCACTGAACGGCTCATCCGGACCTGGGAGGCGGCCGCGGCAACAGCCTGGCAGGCAGCAGGGGGAGGAGCCAGGTGGGTGGGAGGTAAACAGGACGTGACCGCGGCACCGGCTACTCCGGCAGCAGATCGTCGCCCAGCTCGTCGTCGAACATGTCCTCGTCCGTCTGTCGGAAGGCGGCGGTGCGCGGCCGTTGCGCCATCGGATCGCCGATCGGGTCGGCGTAGCTAGCGTCTGCCGGCGCGAAGCGGCCAGCGGCGTCACACAGGGCACCGCCCGACGGCTGCAGGGTGACGTCACTGGGTACAGCCGCTGCGGCAGAATGAGCGGTGACCGCGGCTCGGAGCACACGCTCCGGCTGTCTGCGAGGCCACACAGCCACCTGGCCGGGCACACCTAAGCAAGGCTCACCAGGCCAGAGGCGTGGAGGCTTCTGCAAGACTGCGTCCGTCCCCCCCGACTCGCCAGCATCCGAAAACGGCTGCTCCGCGACATCCGCAATCGACGCGAGCTGACGTATGGCTCCTCATTACTCCCGCCCATCTCTCGGGGAGGCGCCACGATGCACTTGTGTCCGAGAACGTTACCATGACTTCTCCCCGTAACGGACCGATCTCTCCGGGTCGATCACACCAGCCTTCCCCGGTGAATTACTAGTTCCCCCGTGTGAATCCAGGCCGCTCTCCATCGGTCCGGCTGGACACAGCCACATCAGCTCCTCCGTGACACCGGCCGGCTGTGAGGCGCGACTCACCGATCTCCTTGGGCTGCGGCGAGGCAGGCGAGAGGCTGGCGCGCTCGGCTGTGAGCGGCTTGGCCAGCGAGCCCGGCCGCGAGTCGGTCAGCCGCTCGTCCCGGCTGACGGCCGAGCCGTCCCGCGAGCCGTGCAGACCGGAACGGTACGACGCTGCGCGCACCAGCCGAACACACCGCACGGTCAGCAGCGCCGGCACCGACACGGCAGGCGAGGAGTCCGGTCACACGGACACGGCAGGCGAGGGGTCCGGTCACACGGACACGGCAGGCGAGGGGTCCGGTCATACGGACGCGGCAGGCGAGGATTCCGCTCACACGGACACAGCAGGCGCGGGGCGCACTCACAGGGACACGGCATGCGAGAGGCGCACTCACACGGACACAGCAGGCGCGGGGCGCACTCACACGGACACGGCAGGCGCGGGCGCACTGACATGGACACGGCAGGCGCGGGGCGCACTCACACGAACACAACAGGCGCGGGGCGCACTCACACGGACACGGCAGGCGCGGGGCGCGCTCACAGGGACACGGCATGCGAGAGGCGCGCTCACACGAACACGGCAGGCGCGGGGCGCACTCACACGGACACGGCAGGCGCGGGGCGCACTCACACGGACACGGCAGGCGCGGGCCGGCCTCACACGGACACGGCAGCACGACACGGAAGGTTACCACAGGCGGGCACAGCCGGCGCTGGCCTGTGATAACCGTGAGATCTGTGCCCACGAGACGCGTCTCGCTGCACGGCAGACCGCGAGCGGGCAGCAGCACCTGACGTTAGAACTACAACTCTCGATGCATCGCAGGGTTCATATTATCGGTCACATGCCTATGAATATGTACCAAACTGACATGGTAAAGTAGCCGGCTCCAGTACATATAACTTTAACCCAGCCCCACATGTTTTCCGTCAACAAGTCGGGACTTCTTATCATAGTTCATGTGAGTAAAGGGTCGAACCTCTTCAGTTCCAGTTCACAACAGCTCACCATTTCACAACCCTGGGACAGAGAGACGACTAACCCTCTCCAGAACAGTTCAATAGAGCAGCTGCACAAGCGTAGCAGATCGTGACGCACTCACTGTCGTCATCCGCCACCGCGCCTGAGTCTCAAGACAACACACCAACAGCTGCGGCACGTCACCGATGAATGACACAGCGACCTCTGGGTCAGCCGGGGCCGGCCGCGCCGGGCGCCGCCACTCACTGCCGGGCCGGCCGGACTTGAGCCGCTCGTCGCGCATCTCCTTGTACTTCTCGGCACGCTTCAGTTCGACGGCGTAATCGGCCGCCTCCTTTAGGCCCAGGTCGGTGCAGATGCGCACCAGGAACTTGAGGCCTGCCGGAGCCAGACACTGGCGTCACGCCAGCAGCCGGCCGGCCGCGCACGAGCGGCGGCCGCTGCCGAGCCGCGCCGCGCGTCCGCCGCTGCTAACGCGGAGGCGGAACTCGAGCAGGAAGAACACGGCGCGTTACGATACGTACCAAGAAAGCCACAAACAATGTAATCTGGTTGGTTGATTTGCAACGAATTCTAGACAACTGGTGGACTAGATTTATCACACTACGACTTCGTCACAATCATGTGCCTCACATTGGAAATTACAATTTACATCTAAAAAGATCATAACAAAGCAAAACACCTCCACACGGGCATCACCACCCAACAAAACCGGGCCTTGCATCTGCAGCCACCCAGAATGCCTAAGTGGCACTCTTGAATAGTTTGACGTTAGCCCGGATATCGGCACTGGTTGTGACGTAACGCTGGTAAGGTTGGCTGCGGAAGCCAGTCGCAGCGACCTGGCCCAGGCGATAAGACAGCCTGTGGCACCCGCACGTCGAGCACACGTCAGCACCAGACGGCACACCGGCGCTGCAGCGGCAGCAGCCGCGCCGCTCACACTCGATGTTGTCTGGGAACTTGATGTGGATCTCCTTGTACTTGGCCAGCGCGCGCTGGTAGTTGCCAGAGCGTCGGTAGCAGGAGGCGATGATCAGGTGCCACTTGACCTCGGCCGGCTGGATGAGCGTGGCCCGCTCGAAGTACAGGATGGCCTTCTCCGACACCTGGTGCTCGATGAAGTACGAGCCCAGCCAGTCGATCACCTCCAGATTGGCCGGGTAGAAGCGGGACGACTGCAACCGGCAGCAGGGTCAGACATGCAGGCGGCGGCGGCGGCGGCGGCGGCGGACCGCGCCGTCACCCTGAGGTGAACGAAGACTGCTGCGGTTTGACTGGTCGGCCTGCTGTGACGACCAGGCGCCAGACAACGCTGACATCTGTGGGGGCAGCACGGATATCGCCGCACAGTCTACTAGTCGCTCCTCAATCACGTGCACGTACTGTGACCAGCTTCATGAAGAGAGCAGGACGTACTATGTTGACGTGGGGAGTGACTTTCCAAACCTCACTTCGAATCTAGTTGCATAAAGTAAGGAGTAACCATGCATTCTTACGCCAATTCTACAAATTACGGGAAAATTTGAAGCAACGAATTATCCCGTTCTTAACAAGCATCTGCCTAGTGTCATCAACGTATCTGATTTGACCACGGAGTAGAAAATCCACTTCGAAACCGAGCTTAAACAAAGCGATGCTCTGCTTTGCCGTAAAATCGGCGGTGGTGGCGGCAGAGGAGCCCGTGCGTGGCCAAGAGCGCAAGGGTGAAACACTTAGGCCGGGCATCAATATGCAGTGGGATATTGCAGCGATGCCAACATATCAGGGCCGGGCGGTGTACGTACAAGTAAAAAAAACAACACGTACAACTGCAACTCACGTAAATTTGTAGGAATCACGAATGTACGCCCCAAAAATGCGCGGATAAAGCTGGCAAGCCAGTGTGAAAACATACATATTTTCCACATCTCGCCTACTTCACGGGATCATTTTTGACTTTCTTGTGTGGATCGGACAGACATGATATAATATTTTCAAAATCCTCAATATAAGGTAAGGATAGTAAGTTATTTCAACGAACTTTCGTCGTTTACGTGCGTATTGGCTGTACGCATAGTACACGGAAGCTCAGAGAATAAACAAAAACATCAGTTTTGTTTTATTTTCCGCGGGTAGCGGGACGATGCCAAAAGTTAAAAGGTGTCTGCATTTCAGGGACATAAAAGTGATCGTCATTATTGTATGCATTAAACGTGCACAGACACACACACACACACACACGGCACACATTTAAACCTGGCTTAACCCATAAATGGCGGCACCGTTTATGCCACTTTAGCAATATTTCTGTGTTAATGTAAGGGGTCCAAAAAGCCCGAGCCGAAAACGACTATATCGTCGCCATGACAGCGAATGCATATATTGCGAATGGAATTACTTCAGCCTCGACCTTTTACGGTTTGCTTCTGAAGAGTACTGCCAGGCTTATGAAACTAGCGCGGGAAGAAGAGAGTTGCGCCGAAATTACTTTGGCCAGCCAGAAGTGAGAAGTAGCTTCTCTTTCAGAAATTGGATACTGGGATCACACCCAGTGCACTTCAGGTGACAAAGGCCTTGCCCACATGAGCTCTAGACAGGCTAGCACATTAACCAAATGATCACCCCCAACATAAATCCAAACACAAAATCGGCTATAAGGAAACAACGACCGGTACATAATAGCCCATTTCACGGTAGCGTTTATACGTCTGATATCTTACCTGGTCCCACCGCCTTCCACAGATATTTTATTCTGAAGCGCACGGCAAATAGGATAAGCTGGGAGCGAAACCCGTCGTTTGTTGTCGAACCTAACAAAAAATTCAGGAATTTTTCTCAAGAATTGCTTTTGTGTCATCATCGTGCACCAATTTATCATCCTATGTTAGCGTATTTGGTCTCATGGGACCTATAAAGCACAGCAAACGAGAAAGCACGAATGTGCACAGGATGATAAAACAAATACGTCTCTTAAGTGAAAATGTACGGCCGTTTTGATAGCACCGACAACAAAGCTTGTTATCAGTTGCTGTAGCGGCAGTAGCAGAAGTAACAGTAAGCAGTAGCAGAACCTGTGGTTTAACCACAGGTTCTGCTACTGCTTATCCCGTCTTCGGGCATTTCAGATCTGGTGACAATTAGCCCCTGACTAGTAATGCTTACGTGAAATGGGCTGTTATCAACTGCCAGAAATCCTGACCACCAAATGCATGGCTGCCACAGTTTGTCCACAATGAGCTCTTCTTTCCCTACAAGCGATGCCGGCGCCGGCTTAGCCTGGACGGCGCCGTTACTGCTGCTGGCCTGAGCCGGTGAAGTACGCCCCTGGCCGCGGGCGGTGGGGCGACGCGCGAGCACCGCATCGACTCACGTCGAAGTAGTACTGGTAGGCGCCCTGCTTGTCGCCGTCCTTGTCCAGCAGGCCGCCCAGGTGGAAGAGCGTGTCCGGGTCGCTGGGTACCAGGCTCAGCATCTGCACGTACCTGCCGCCGGCGCACGGACAGGCCGCGTCACCGATCGAGGGACGAGGCCAGCGCGCCAGCACCGCCGCCGACAGCCGGTGACCACGCGCGCCGGAGCGGGTGGAGCTACATCCACCGCATTTACCGCGGCCACCTTCACTTGATGGACAAAAAGGCAATGGCGAAGAGGTCCTGCCTCCAGGCCTGGTGTCCGATTCGACTGCGTTCAGCGCGGCCAAAACGCAACGGATTTTGCCTGCCACGAGTGGGTGACGTCAATGCAGCACGCCTGAGTTCGCAGGGCTCCAAACAGATCACGATCACGCGCGGAAATTAGCTTGCTCCAACGCTAAACAACTGAAATGATCAGTCGGTAAATGCTAAGCACACGTTAGTCCGAGTTTGAGCAACGTATTTTTAAAAATCACGCGGGAGAACTAAGGATTGCCAGGGATTGGCAAGCCTCGAGACCAAGCTCAGTTGCATATTTTGATGGAGAATACGGAAGTATGGAGTACAGAATGACTAAGAATGGGATGCGCGCGGTTTTGGGAGAGGTAGTATGCAACACATTCAGGTGACTGAGGATACAGCTTGTACTCGTCTCTCCATTGCACCTATGCTCCATTCCGCTGCGGCGAACACAGAGTTGGGGCTTTTTAGCGGATTGCGTGGATATTGTGCGTTCTCGTAGTCTCTAGCTGTTCTCCGCCGTCCGGTAGACATGAGCGAATGCAAAATGGCTACTTCTCAACTGCCGCTAACCGTAGTTTCCTTCTCGGGGTTTGCTTCACGCTGGACACCCATGAACCGGTGAGATGTCAGAGCACCGGACGGTCGACAAAACTGGCGGACAGCTGCGGCAGCAGCCGAAGTGAGTGCGTACAGTGGCGGTGGACAGAAGGTGTTTGGACAGTGGACGGCCGACGCACAGGCGGGTGGACAGCCGACGGTGACGGCGCCCGGTTGGCGCTCCGCCAGTGGACAGCCTGCCCAGTGCCAGCGGCGCACCGTCAGCTGCGGAGAGGTGGCCGGCGCCAGCACCGCCGACCAACCGTCACTGGAGTAACCGAGGCCAGTCAGCGCCGTGCCGCGACCTCACCACTCAGTAGCCTGGTCAATGTCGCCCATCAGCTCCGAGCAGTTGGCGATCTGGTAGATGATCTGCGGGTGCGAGCGCACGATCGTGTGCAGCTTGACGAACGAGTCCTTGGCGTCAGCGTACAGCCGCATGTTCTTGTTGGTGAGACCTGAGGCGGGAGGGAGACCAGTGAACACGACCTATTCAGCCGCCTTTTCTTGTTCAGAGCCGGGTGGTGAGGGTTGGGCGAGTACGGGTCAGTGGCAGCCGCCATGTGCGCACCAAGAGCCCGTGTGGCAGGTGCGCAGCGTACCCGCCAAAGTGAACCGAGACACATCAGGCACCAAGCGGCTCGCGCAGTGTACAATGTTCAGGCACCGATTACGTTCAGCAGTTCGACCGTTCGGCGCGGACCACACGCGGTATAAGCCAGGTGGCGTGGCTGACACAGCGGTCCCACTGACGGCAGGTGGGGGAACTGCGCCGCACCGATTCGCCTGTTCACTGTGTCACCGAACGTCTACAAAAATCCTCACACGCAGTCACACACGCCTTGGTATTCTAACGTAAGGTAGTCCTTCACCTCCCATTTCGTCTGCCACTGTCCAGCGCCACCGGCTCCGGGCCGCCCACCTACCCAGATTGTAAAGCGCCTGTACACAGGAGGCGTCGTTGTCGAGCGCGCAGATGTAGTACTCCTTGGCCTTCTCGAGGTCGCCGCGCTGGAAGCAGCAGTTGCCCAGGTTGACTAGCGCCGAGGCGTTGTAGCCGTCGGCGTCGCGCGCTCGCTCAGCGTGCTTCTCCGCCTCCTCGTACTCCTTGCGCTGCCGGCACGACCGTCAGAGGTCAGGTCAAGTCAGGTCAGGCTAGGTCAGGCGTTGGAAGGTGGGCTCACGCTCATCCGATCAGGCTACCTGACGATGCCCGCGGAGGCCAACCAGGGCGACAGGGGCTGCACGCACACGCACACGCATATTCCACGGCCATACGTGCCGCTGGAGTGTCCCCGTGATGACTGCACTGCCACCGAGACCGGCACTCACCAGGAAGAAGAGGAAGGCCAGGTTCGTGGAGGCATGAGACGCCACCTTTGTGTCCACCTTGTCAAACACCTTGAGTGTATCGATGGCGGCCTTGAAGTCGCGCTGCCGCAGGAACATGACGGCCTTGTTGATCTCGAGGTCGTTGGCCAGGTCCGAGTGCTGCGAGTTCTTAAGCGTCTCCACACACCTGGCCGGGGGACGTCCGGTCAGAGCGACAGACCCCACACCACGGTGGACACCCCCAGGGCATGATCACCAGCCAGTGTCATGCCACTGCTCCAGACGGAGCGGCAGACCCCACACCACGGTGGACACCCCCAGGGCATGATCACCAGCCAGTGTCATGTCACTGCTCCAGACGGAGCGGCAGACCCCACACCACGGTGGACACCCCCAGGGCATGGCCACCAGCCAGTGTCATGCCACTGCTCCAGACGGAGCGGCAGACCCCACACCACGGTGGACACCCCCAGGGCATGGCCACCAGCCAGTGTCATGCCACTGCTCCAGACGGAGCGGCAGACCCCACACCACGGTGGACACCCCCAGGGCATGGCCACCAGCCAGTGTCATGTCACTGCTCCAGACGGAGCGGCAGACCCCACACCACGGTGGACACCCCCAGGGCATGGCCACCAGCCAGTGTCATGCCACTGCTCCAGACGGAGCGGCAGACCCCACACCACGGTGGACACCCCCAGGGCATGGCCACCAGCCAGTGTCATGCCACTGCTCCAGACGGAGCGGCAGACCCCACACCACGGTGGACACCCCCAGGGCATGGCCACCAGCCAGTGTCATGCCACTGCTCCAGACGGAGCGGCAGACCCCACACCACGGTGGACACCCCCAGGGCATGATCACCAGCCAGTGTCATGTCACTGCTCCAGACGGAGCGGCAGACCCCACACCACGGTGGACACCCCCAGGGCATGGCCACCAGCCAGTGTCATGCCACTGCTCCAGACGGAGCGGCAGACCCCACACCACGGTGGACACCCCCAGGGCATGGCCACCAGCCAGTGTCATGTCACTGCTCCAGGCGGAGCGGCAGACCCCACACCACGGTGGACACCCCCAGGGCATGATCACCAGCCAGTGTCATGTCACTGCTCCAGACGGAGCGGCAGACCCCACACCACGGTGGACACCCCCAGGGCATGGCCACCAGCCAGTGTCATGCCACTGCTCCAGACGGAGCGGCAGACCCCACACCACGGTGGACACCCCCAGGGCATGATCACCAGCCAGTGTCATGTCACTGCTCCAGACGGAGCGGCAGACCCCACACCACGGTGGACACCCCCAGGGCATGATCACCAGCCAGTGTCATGTCACTGCTCCAGACGGAGCGGCAGACCCCACACCACGGTGGACACCCCCAGGGCATGATCACCAGCCAGTGTCATGTCACTGCTCCAGGCGGCTCAGACATTACCGAAAACAACTGCCTGTGTTGACGTCACACTATATGAAGCCATAAGATGTGAGCCACCGCAAGCGGTGTCCCTTCAGCGTTATGACCCCGGACCTGGATTGCGGCAGGTCACGGACTGGAGATGGGCCGGGCGGCAGGTCACGGACTGGAGATGGGCCGGGCGGCAGGTCACGGACTGGAGATGGGCCGGGCGGCAGGTCACGGACTGGAGACGGGCCGGGCGGCAGGGCACGGACTGGAGATAGGCAGGGCGGCAGGTCACGGACTGGAGATAGACCGGACGGCAGGGCACGGACTGGCAACTTGTGGCGCGGCCTTCTTGGGCTCGTATTGAATCCCATTCTAACCACCCAATGACATTACGCTTTTTTACATCCACCTCGTTTGCGAATCTGCTTATTTCACACAACCCAAACAAAGTCCTGCTCGATCCGACTTCTCCGGAAAGTATCGCGATACTTTAATGCCAGTTAAATCAAGGTTGTACGCATGGCTTACCTGAGCAGATTTCCTACGTCATAAACTGCCTTTCGGGTCTTCAACCTTGAGATATAATTTAGTTAAATTCAGCCATTATTCCGTAATACGTGGATTACTCCCATCCATGCCGAGCGTCCCCCAGCCTGCCCGTTCGCAGGCAGCACTGATGACTGACCAGTTGTAAGACTCGGTGATCTGGGCGCTGTCCTCGCCGCCCGACGAGATAAGCTTGGCTGCCGTCAGGATGCACTGCTCGGCCTCGTTGCGTAGCCGGCGCTCCAGCTTGCGCATCGGGTCGTTCTTGATGACCTCCAGTACCAGTGAGGTCTGCGGGTCCTTCTCCGCCTCCTCCTGTCGGCCGGCCGGGCGGGACCGCCGCAGCGCCGCGGTTAGCCGAGAGCCACAGCGCCCGGGCACACGCGCGGCACCCATTCCGAGGCAGACCCGATGGAAACGACTCTCTGCTTATGCTGATCGTTAGCGGGGAGCCAGGAAGAGGCGCTGCAGGCTGGTTTAGATCCCGCCTCGGGCGGCAGAGACAGAGTGCCGCAGGTACGTGGTGGTCGTCCCTTGAGTAACGGTCACGACGCCGGTCAGACGACGGATGTCTGTCACACCGAAGCGTTCACTGAAGCCCAACTGTGCGAAAATCCCCACTTACCGCGAGATATCGCTAAATGGACCTGGTTCTGAGTCGCCGCCCGCCACTCGCACTCAGGGCCGTATGCCGCTGGACATCAGGCTTCGCGAACTCCCCATTCGGGAAGGGGGGGGGGGGGCTGCCGTGGAACAACAGGACTGTGCAGGATTGTGGCGGAAGGGGGTGGAGACGGACAGCGGGGACACGTCCACATCTAGACGTTAGAATGGGCGCTAGGCTCGTAACTAGACGTTACGATAGGCCCTAGGCTCACATCCAGACCGTTAGGATTGACGCTAGGCTCGCATCTAGACGTGAGAATGGGCGCTAGGCTCGCATCCAGACGTCAGGATAGACGCTAGGCTCGCATCTAAATGTTTAGGATAGGTGCTAGGCTCATGCAAACGAGTCGAACCACCGAGGCGTGACATTCTTAAACGCCATCTTTCCTAGACACGCGTGCGGTAGTCGTTTCTGATTAACGGCGTGCCGCAGGTAATATCTATGTGGCTCAGCTGTGTGAATTCGACGGGACCCGAACGGCGAGACCATATAACTCGCATCCCAACACCGAGAAAGATACGGTAACGGCTGCTCAAACGACCCGTCTCACATCGCCAGCGGGAGTGTGCACGGACATACCTCCAGATCCTTGTACTTGTCGTCATTCTCCATGTCGAACGGCACCTGCAGCAGCTTCTGGAAGGACTCCTTCTGTTTGGCCCGGTCGCCCATGGCGTGGTAGCAGACCACCAGGTGTAGCCCTACCGGCGAGACGTGTCGGGGCATTGCTGAGCCGAGCTGAGCTGAGTCAGCCGCACCAGCGGAGCCCTCAGCACTGCTGCGGTACAGACTGGACCTTGGCCATTCTCCCCTTCGCCCATGATCTGGGTGGCTTAAGCGATAAGGAAATGGTCGGGAACATCCACGAGGCTCTGCTGCCGTCAAAAGTCAAAAACGCGTAACTAGCAATTTCATAATTGTTCAGGAGAACGTTTTTTGTGTTATTTCGGTGTCATGGCCGTGAACGAGAACCAATGAGTAGAAATTGCACACCAATCGGAAGCGAGAGCAATTCTCTATCTAGCAATGTAAAAATGAAAACAACTGGAAATAGCTTAAGTCTTAACTGCTGAGGATGTTTTTTGACATGGGAAGACGGTATTGAAACCTAACGGTTGTCAAAGTCAAAAAGGCGTATCTGGGCGAAAACGCGTATCTGATAATATACGCGTTTCTGTCCATTGTAAAAAGGGCACAGCAACGTCTCTTATCTCGGCAAAAACAAGTATTTGCGGAGTGAATCGTTCTTTTCCTATGCACTTGCTAAGCATCGTATGGACGATTGAACAGCTCCACGGTACCAGAGAACGGTGTCTCCAAGTCTCATTCATAAGCAATTCAGGGGCGGGGAACGTCTCTGTAAAAATGAAGCATTTGCTGAGTGTAGAGCGTCAGACATGGTGTCAGGCGTACCCGTTGTGCTTGACAGAATGGCGGTAGGTTCTTAGTGATAAATAACCACGGTTAGGACCCATGGTATAAACATACCAAAGCTCGGTTCACAGTCTTTATTAAAAAACGATCCTAGAGAGCATCGCTAATTCCCATTCTATCCATTTGTGAACTGCGCCTTCACAAAACCAGCGGATGATGGAGGATTAGAACGCATATGTAAACACATTTGGACATAGCTGCTTCTTGATGACGTAACACACGACTCGATCCATGTGGTCATCAAAATGGCATCTGAAGTCACAAAATCCCATACAGTTCAACACCGTAAAGCTAAAGGGTGTCAGCATCCAATCGAAAACAGTTGGTGGCATTAATGCACGTTGGTGGAGCACCTTGCATCCGATCTATGTCTTCTTCCAAAGTTTGTCTGAGCATGACAACGAACTCTTCAGCTTCAAAGCCGCTCAATCAATGATTCAGATCAGAATTCCGATGCCGCCAACGAAAGGGGTACTGCACCAAACACACAGCGCAACACACTAACATCGCCGTTCCTCGAGGGCTGTCTGTCGGGAGCGTCGCGCCATGAGTGTAAACCCTCAGATAGAATTCAGGTCTCGTATGTTGTGGTGGGCACCGTTTTGTAGTTCTCTCCAGAACGTCAATTTGTGCGCAGTCATGAGTGGAAGCAGGTTGCCGTACAAGCGGTCAATTTTCTCTTTGTTGACGCCACGAGGGCGCTCCCTGTGATCCATCCTGGTGTCCAGCTGGACTTTGTTTTTCACCAGATCATAGACTTTCCACGACGTTTGCTTCAAGTCCACCTTTGTCCACAGCTTCTTCGAGCCTCTCCGCACTTCAATGACCTTCAGCTTTCGCAGATACGGCCGTTTTCCAACCCCTTGCAGAGCCTTTATCTTAGCAGCGCTGAAGATATCGCTTGCGCAGATGAAGTCTTCTGCCCTCAGGGGAGCTGTCTGGACGCCTGTGCAGCTGTCCACCAGGTCCACCCAGTCTTTGAAGTCTTCCACCGCCTTTTTGGAATTCAGTTTTTTGTTTATGACCTGGTGGTGGGCGTCGGCACTCATTGCTGTATGTCCCTTTTCAAGATACTTCATCGTCACCTTCTCGAGGGCCAGAGTATCACTCTGCACGGCTTGCATCAGCGTTGAAAGCACGACCCAGCACTTGTTTCGTGAACAACAGTTATCAGCAAAAATGGTAATCCGTCGCTTGTCCCTGTTAGCGTGAAAGAACTTCCTGAAGGCGGAAGACACATCCACTGCATCTCCTCCCGCCAGGCCCTCGTGCCACAGCACAGCTAATGCCTGCGGCGAGTGGCGTTTTCGGCCCTTTTCCCTGGGCTGCAGTGGGCTGAAAGTCTCATTGAAAGCGACGAGTCGGGGGGTAAAAAAACACACCTTGTGGGGCATCACGGGGAGCATAAAAACTCGCATCATGTCCGCGCTGACGACGAGTTCATCATCTTCCCAGTCGCGCTCTGCGTCGCTCCGGTACTCTTCTCTTGCAATACGGACTTGCTCCAGATGATGCACTTGGTCCGCACATGCCTCGCAGCCATCCAGATCATCTTGGGACCCATGCTCCTTTTTGTGGATTTCATGCTTCGAGCAGCTTTCGCACTCTTCCTGGCTTAGTCTGGTAAAGCCGATGTTCGATCCCTTTACAACTGATCGGTAGCTTTCGAGGGAGCAAGTCGCCAACGGGTTGTCCTCCAGGTACTGATTATGCATTTTGGATATGGTGAGGTCTTGCGGAAGGTAACGCCGGTTTGGGGCATGGAGATACCTATAATGTGGAGCTGCAGGTTCGTAGGACAGCACATGCTCCTGGATATTCTGCTTATCCAGCTTGTGCGCAGGCGTGTGGCGACCTCTTCTGTCCGCTGGCGCAACTGCTCCTCTCACTTCCTGGCTCCCGAGTAGAGCGAACCGCATAGGGGCGTCATATTTGGGTTTCATCCCCAAAGTGGCGAGGAAGAAAGTCTTGCACACTTTTTTCCTGTTCCCGTCCTCGACTGGTAAAAACCATTCCAAAGTTCGCTGTCTGCGAGATTGCTCCCCGGTTGGTTTGCATTTCGGTCTGTCCCCGTTCTTTACCTCCACCTGGGCACGATACCACTCCCTTCGAGCAGCGTCTGTTAAGCCATTCACCGAAACGTTTATGCTACGCCTCTGCACATCATTGAAGTTTTGCGCGCAAACGTTGCTGCAGCCGTCAACGCATCCCGTGGGAACTGGGAGGACGGGATGCTTTTTTGTATAATTTGTTATCTTATCCACCGAGCTGCGAGCACGCTTTTCGTCGTCTCCTAAGTAACCTCCTGCGGCCGCAACGCCGTGAACTGCTGCTCGTGAGAGCCGTTTGGTTCTTGGTCACCAACACTTTCTCTGTTGCTCGCAAGTGCTGGCTGAGCTTGCTCGTGCTCTGCATGCTGCTCAGGTTGCTTGTCTGTTGCTGACAGAGCGGTATGGTCATCATGATCTGATTCTCTTCCGCCTCTCAAAACCTCGTCTGGTAACGGCGCGTCGGAATCCAAGAGTCGAATGATGTCTCCTAAAGCGGACAGGGACTCGCTCGTAGCCGCCGCAGCCATATCTGTGAGTTGTAGGCCCGACAGAGTGTCCGATTCACACACAACGGGAGGTGAGCAGCGCTGTGGTGTGCCGTTTGGAGTACTCGTGACGAGAAACGCCACCGAGCAATCGTGCAAACCCACCACGTGTTCAGGCTGGTCCGCATCAGTAACCCGCAAGTCGTCGGCAAGGGTTACACGGGAATGCTTCTGTTTCTGATGGCCAGGTGGTGAAGAAGGGGGTCGCTTCGCGGACGTGTTTGCTGGTAGAGCAGCAATGATATATGGCACTGCTGGCTCGGCACCTTGGGTGTCCGTCGAACGCACGCTTGTTCAACTGGGAGTTAGCGCTTGTTCACTCACACCACTCGCCGTCCCTTGCGTTTGGGTCGGGATGAGACCCTGGGCTTCACTCGGGTAGGGTGGCAACGACAGCAGCCTTGCGGCCTCAAAGCAACCAGCACCAAATGAGCATCCTTCCATGAATTTTGCTGGACTTTCTCCTCCACAGACAACAAATTCACCTCCTTGTGTTTTAGCGGGAGTTACCTGACCTATCACTGAAGTCTCATCCACAACAGCGAAGTCATCAGACCCTATCAGAGCAGGATATGCATGCTCCATCTCACATCTTCTGGAACCAGCTGGATGCTCTTTGTGCCATAGTCTTGCGATTGGCAGATCATCGTCTGACACATCTGAAACAATGCGTGCCATTTTTAACACTCATACCGAGACAAACGAGGCAGAAAATAATTCACCAAACTACCCTTATAAAATGTGAGATGCGTATTCCTTGGGAAAAAGCAGACAAACAACACCAATCCAAGTTACCCCAGCAATCTAAGATATTTCTGAGCTGCAAATCCAACGATCGTCGGCTTTGACTTGGATGGCCAGGATACAACGAAGTAGAGAATATCCTTGTGGGTGACTGCCATGGCATATGGATACATAAGTCGGCATGCACGTGCATTGTGCCGTTAGTCGTGTACATGCGCTCACCTGTGTGGGTCCACGTGGGACAATGAGTGTGTGTTGTGGTGGTGGTGGTGGTGGTGGTGGTGGTGGTGTGTGTGGGGGGGAGGGGGGGGGGGCGCAGCATGCATGCATGCGCGTGTGTGTGTGTTAATGTATTAGTATGCGTGATAGGCCATTGAATGTGAAGGTCACAAATGCGAATGGGACAAGTTAAAGACTGTGCGTTAGGGTCCGGATCGTGGCGTGTTGAGTTTAGCATCGCCAACGTTTTCGCATTGCATGAGTTGGAGAAGAGGTCAGCGTGTTTAGCGTTAATAATACCACTCCGAGTCGAGCCACTCCCTTTAAATAGTCGTATTATGGATGGCTGGCTTAGGTCATCACGGCCGGATTCATCACGTCAGAAGCAATGCTGCATTTCGTGGCATTGTGGTGTGCCTGCGTCTGTTATATGTACTGGGGCGATTTCGATCACCAGAAAAACCTGGATATAATCTACCGATGTCATGCATGCCACGCCATGCCGAACGTGAGCAAGCCTGTACTGGAACGTTGCACACCTACTTTTCCGACCCATGCAAGCTGTGCGGTTGCTTGATGCTTGTGACGTGCGGCAAAAATTGTGTCAGAGCTTTGTGCCATAGTATTCCAAGCCTGAGCCAAGATATATGACCCAAAGGATAAAGCGATTTGTGTGCATTTGTCCACAGTTCATTTTACGCCACAATTGATTTGCTACATTTCCACCAGCGCGTGGTAACGCTCGTAGCCTTTTCATTCACGTGGAAGACAATCTGACGAGTAGATACTACAGTGCCCGACAAAAGAACAAGCACGGAAGACGAGTGCTCACCTTCCACAAGATCATGCGGTTCCAGGCTTGGTTGCTTTCCAGCAACGGTTCCAGTCCATCTTCCGCCGCGGTACTTCATACTCACTCTGCTTCCTGTCTCTATGGGCTTCGGCCCACTTAATTTTCCCAGTGAGACATAGTGCCATTGTCCTTGGGAAGCATCATCCCAATTCACTCGCACGTGACAAATTCCCCGTATCTTTCTTGAATCCATGTCTTTACAGAGTAAAAAACGAGGCACTAATCGTCAGGCACGCGTTACAGGTACGTAACGCCGACACCCTGTGCTGACTGAATTTCCAGCAAATAATTGTAACAAGCACGGTTGCTCAACCTTATCGAATGTTATCCCGCACAAAGCCGAAATAAAATGACCAGCAAGCAGCATTTTGAACGAAAAAGACTGCAACGCACGTGTATGGCCGCAGCACCTCCGCTGTGAAGATGCGCGTATTTGCAGGATTTGGAAACAGTTTAAAGAAACAAACATTTTCCTACGGCAAAAACGCGTAACTGCTCAATTTACAACGGCCCCCAATGGCAAAAAGGCGTAACTTCACAGATACGCGCTTTTGACACAGTGATGTCGCTGATCGTAGGTGACAAAACCGCGTATGTAAACGGATACGTGTTTTTGACCCGGAAAACGGAGCGCGTGGAAACCATTGAGGCTAGCGTTTCACAGATACGTGTCAGTTACTCGTTTCTATCTTTGGAAAACCTTACAGGCACTACTCATACGCGAATCTATCAACCTTATATCCCTTTTTAATTCTTTTTAAAACAATGAACATACACTTTTTACTTGATCAAAATGTGCGCCTCGTCGGGACGAATTCAATGATACCAATAACTCCATTTCGATAAAAATGTTAGTTACGTGTTTTTGACTTTGGACGGCGGTCTGTGCGACCGAACAACGGGGCGAGCGAAACCTACCGATCCTGAAGGAGGGCTTCTCATGCATGCAGAACTCGAAGCTGGTGACGGCGTCCGGAAAGTGTCCCATCTTGACGAACAGGATGCCGATGTTGTGCATGATCTTGATCCTGCAGGCAGGCGGGGTCGTGATGCGGGTGCACACACGGGGCGCACACGTTACCCGGCACACGTGTCGGCTGGGAGCCGCCGCTGACGGCACGCGCTGCGCTCCTCTTCTCACTAAATACCTGCAGTTGCCGTCCCCAACAGTGTCAAGAAAACAACAGGGGTCGAAGGGTCGCTACAAAGATAGTCCCGTCCCAGTGTTACCATACATCTCCGCTGGCAGTCACACAACGTCATGGCCTGTGCACATGACAGTGCCGGCTGCACCTCTGCTGTCCTACCTGGTGGAGTTTTGTCCGCTAGGAATCTGGTCCAGCGCCATCCGGTAGAACTTGAGCGCCTTGGGAAACTGACCCATCTTGTAGTAGATGTTGCCCATGTTGACCTTAAGGCGGCCGGCGTTGTTGAAGTTCTTGTTCTTGGTGATGACCTGGTATGTGTTGAGCGCCTCCGTATACAGCTCGTTTTTGGCGTACTGATGCGCCAGATTTGTCAGCACCTGGTGAAGATGGATCCGTTTGCGTTTACCACGCCGCAATCACACATCGCACCAACAAAGCCCTGACAGTACGGGACAGCGTGTACGCTTGACGTCTGTCCCGCCGTGCCCCGGACCGTGTCCCGGCCCGGTGTGCTCGCGGCCCCACCAGCTCGGCCGCCCAGACCGTGTCCCGGCCCGGCGTGCTCGCGGCCCACCAGCTCGGCCGGCCGGACCGTGTCCCGGCCCGGCGTGTTCGCGGCCCGCCAGCTCAGCCGGCCGCCCACTCACCACGAACGTCAGCTCCAGGTTGTGCGAGTCAATGAGGCCGGCCTGCTCGCGGTGCCGGATCAGCGTGCGCTCCTTCGCCGACGCCTCCTTGGCCTTGTCGAGCGCCAGCTTGTCATCGTTGCGGCAGCTGGCCAGGCAAGACTCCTCCACCAGGGCCATGACGCGCGCCTCCAGCTGACGCACCTTCTCCTCCGGCCTGCCGCCGCACCGCGCGCGCTGTCACACAGCCAGAGGGGCGCAGCCGCCGCGGCGCTGCTTGACGTCCGCGGCGCACGGTCATCGGCGCACGGTCATCGGCGCACGGTCATCGGCGCACGGTCATCGGCACGCGCGTGACAAGCGCGGATTACCAAACTGACGCAACAGACCGGGATTGATTTCAGACCGTAAACTTGGAAAGCATATGCAAGGGCAATTTGAATTTAGTAACCCACCATATCGACCTCCCTAGCAGATTACAAGATAATGTGAAAGTTTATGGGGAGATGGCAGCAGCATCATGGCCGTCCAAAGCGTGGAGACAGCCCACCCCCGCAGTTGTGTGCTGGGACGTCCCAGTATCCGCCCAGGAAAGAAAGTGCATAGGTGCGGAGCGATTGAGCATTTCAAGCTGCTCACTCGTCACGACAGGTAAGGAGCCCATGCCAACTCCGTCGGTTTCGTATGTGGCCTTGCCGCATTAACGCCGCAAACATATGCGAAAGCTGAACACACCAGGAAAACAACGCGCGCGCGCACGCTTGCGGGCGCACCCACGCACAATCCGCACACTAAAAGCACAGTCCGTGGAGACCAAAGCAAATAACTCGCCAAAAGACGAGAGCCAGGCAGCCGCCATGCCGAGTTGCAGGTCACCGCCCGTCCAGTGAGAGCGGGCCAGGCGAGGTATGTGTGGAATCAGGGGGTTACTGTAGAGGGTCATCACCCGATGCCGTAAGGCCACGCCAACTGGTGCATTAGTAGGTGGGGATGTCATGCAATGACCAGAGCGGACACGACCTGCGCCCGGCCACCCCGTGTTTCCCCCACCCTAGATGCCTGCTTTATTCACGAGCCAGCCAGGCAGCAGAGCTGCAGCTCCAGAGGTTCAGCCTCCACCCACAAACAGCGTAGTGGCCCAAGACCGTTCAGCATCGGCAGGATGACTGGACTTCCTGCAGGGGCTGCTGCAGTCTGATCTCGTCTGCACGGCTAGCGGGCCGGGTGCGTAGTGTGCTTCTCCAACACTCCCCCCCCCCCCCTTCCCTCCTCAGCTAGCCTTCTCCGGCATGCCAAGACACAGCAGAGCAGCAGCCACCCCACAAGCGGTAGCCCTCGTCCGCTCATGCGCACATGCCCGCGCGGCGCCGACCGCCGCCGCCTCACTGGTTCGACATATCCTCCAATCTGAAACACAGCGCCGGGTCACTGCCCGGGTGGCGGCCGCTGCTGCAGCCACCAGAGAGCCGCATCCCACCCAACGGAGTTGGCGGCGGCGGCTAGTCGCGCCGGGCCACGGCTGGCACTGCTGGCACTGACGGCACCGCCAGCGCCGCCGCCGCCCACGCTGGTGCGGCTGGAGACTGGACCGGACCGTCGTCCGTGGGGCACCCCGCGCTGGACCGTCGTCCGTGGGGCACCCCGCGCTGGACCGTTGTCCGTGGGACACCCCGCGCTGGACCGCCATCCGTGGGACGCGCTGCACTGGACCGCTATCCGTGGGACACCCCGCGCTGGACTGCTGTCAGTGGGACACCCCGCGCTCGACCGCTATCTGTGGGACGCCCTGCGTTGGTGGCTGGAGTTGAGCGAGCCCCCGCGCGGCAAGGCATGACCTACGTGAGGAACATTGGCCGCGTCGGAGGGTCGGCTCGTCCAGCCGCTTCCGACTGCAGGTCACGTTCTCGTGTGCGGCACAGCCCGCCCCACAGAAGACATGGCGGCACGGCACTCACTGCTCCCATCCTCTGATCAATGGCCGGCGGGTGCTGGCCCCCTACAATGGACGTGGATGTGATGCATGCAACGACGCCGCTCGGCACGCCCACCTACGACCGTCGCGTCCAAGTCGAGCCGACGCCAACGATCGGCCGCGCTCCCAGCACACAACCTGCACAACTGTTGGCTCATCGGGAGCAGCACCGCACGGACGCCGACAAAGTCAATGAGCCACGCTTCACAGCCCACACATCCGCTGCCCAAGCCGCAGCGCCGGGCTCAATAGGAGCTCGCCCCCAGCGTCCATCGGCGCCACCCGCCCGCTGGGAGGGGCGGCCGGCGCCCCGTCCGGGCCGACTCACGTGCTGGCGCCGTGCGACTCGAGGCCGTGGCGGGTGCCGTCGAAGCCGGGCGCGCCGCCGCCGGACGAGTAGCCGACGCCCTTGACGGCCGTCATCGGCCTGTTCTCGTCGCCGGACGCCATCCCGGTGAGCGGGCGGCCCGTCATCGCCGTCATGCCGCGGTACTGTCGCCACGGCACGCCAGTCATCAACAGCGCGCGGGCCGCGGCACTGTCGCCACGGCACGCGACAGTCACCAGCAGCGCGCGGGGCTGATACAGCCAGACAGGCGGGCCTGCCAGACCAGACAAGGGCCGCCACCACTGGCACACGGGGCTGTCGGAACGCTCGGTACAGTGTCACAGCCCAACACAGGGCCGTCACAGCCAGTACATGGGACTAGACAGGCAGAGTCGGATCGGCCTCAGATGGCGTGCTTGACAGAGGCCCTGGTGGGCGACAGAGGTGACGTGTCACGGCTAGGGCCAGGTGCTCGATGGTCTCTGTGGCCCGACACAGGCTCACTACGCACCCGATGACGCAGGGCGTTGAAAACTCAAGAATACATCGCGCACGGGATAATGATGATATGTACCGGGCGAGACCTGACAGCCTTTGGCCGACCTACCCTTGTCTGTCTGTCTCACTGACAGGCTAAGATTCGTTCACTTGCGTCCAACGGCTTTTCATTTCGTCTGGATCAATCAAAGACCTTCTTGTGGTTACCCTGAGTCGCTTATTCCCTACACCATTTCATAATTTTGAATACTCTGAAACTGCATCTGTCGGCTGCTGGTGGCGAGCGAATCAACCAGGCTTGCTTACAGCAGCAGCCTCGGAGCTCAATTCTTATTGGGTAATATTCCGTTAGTAACGTTTCATCTAAAGCGAATGCGGAGCAAAAGCGAAACAAAGCGCAGACGAAAGGGGTGGATTTCGTATGCCTGAAGCGGGCTTGTGATGCTACCACTTCCGGCGCCAAAATTGCCCCCGCCTGGGCCGCAGTAACTGCATTCAAGAACGGACTGAGACTTAAAGTAAGTGCCGTTTTTCAGTTATCGGCGCAACCGTGGTAGAAGAGCTGAGCTGGGCACGCGATCTGAAGGCGAGGCATTCACACGTACTGTGGTGTTGGATTCACCTACTTCAGATCACTTCAGTAGTTCAATGGCTGGATTTACTTTAGGTCTTCGCCTACTCTGGCTGCCATTATAAGACATAAAACGCTTAACGCCCTAAGAAACCGCACACTTATCATTAACATAAGTAGGTGGCACGGGAAAATACGGTTTCGTACACCTGACCGATTAATTTCCAGGCTAAATGACTAAATGGCTTTGCGTGGCCCTAAACCATCGCTAAGGCTACTAGGACTGATTATGAGCCGCGCTTTGAGAACTTCTCTCGGCTCCTATCCGTAGGCCTCCATGTTTGCATAGCACTCCAACACACCCTGGCGTTGGCTCCACGTCTTCATCTCCTTTGGCTGCCGAGACGTGCATGATTAAATCCAAGGGCTCAGAAATTACTTTAGGTGAGACGTGTTGCGCGCTCACCAATGACACAGGGAAACACGTGTCACGCGTTGCTTGCCCACACCTCGCTCAGTACACGCAAGCATCGTGTCTGAAGATTACCTCTGCATTACAACCGGTTCGACCTGCACAGGTGAGCAACGGATTGCACACACGTATTTTCAATACCCTGTAAAAGAGACACTGCGCAAGTGTGCGTGTGACGGCAATGTGCGACATCGCTGTAAGGAAGCTGTCACAAGCGGCGGGCATCATGCAGTTGGCCGTGCCTGGGCGAGCGGAGGTCCTCAGCATGATGCAGCGCATGCGTCTAGCGCCAGCGCGCCGACTGGGCAACCAGCCTCCCACACAGTGTAACGCATAGAAGCCAATATCTTCCCGTTCAAGACGAGCCCTACTCGCCGAGCTACGCCAAGTTCTGCCACTATCACATGCATAGCAAAACAATCATCATCAAGATAATCTGCGCGGGGTCCCCCAACCACGCTTAACTAATGCGACCAACCAATGGGCATACTGACGCAGGGCCACGCACACGCACGTGGGGCCCGCCAGCCCCGGCGTGCGGGCAGCGGCGGCATCTCGGGCCGCCGCCGGGGCGGGACGACTTACGGAGCCGGTGGCCGGCGCGGCGCTGCGCAGGAGGCCCCGCGTTCCCTGCGTGGCCGGTCGCGAGCCGACCACGCCGCTCATCAGCCGGCTCTGGGTCTGAGCGCAGCAGGTCACCGGGTCACGGCGGCCGGTGGACGCCGTCCCCTCCCCTCCCCCTGCTCTTCCTCCCGCGGCCACCAGGCAGGCGGTGCACATGAGCCGAGGCGTAACAGAGGTGAAGTCACCATACAACACGGACACAGGCCGGCCACGGAAATGCGATCAGGCTTGTGTTCGACGGAGAATGCGCTCAACCCGCCTGCTTTAGCGCTCGCCAGGACAGCGCGTGGTGCAGATGCACCCTTTTTCGCATCGCGCAAAGGCTTTGAAGGGTGATGCTGGCGTTTTCATTACATGAGCTTGAAGATGCTTAGCAAATTGAACTGGGTGTGTACTTGCTGTCTACACCTCCTGGTTCCTGCTAAGCGCATTTCACTGAGAGATGACCTTCCTTTCGGAAGTCGGAATGGTGAAAACATCTGAGATGGGTGGTCTACCACGGAATCTTAGCACTGCATGCCGAGAAGCTTTTCATAGTCCTTAAGACGGCATGTGATCACGCATTAAAGGCTAGCAGTACCTCTAGCCTGGACAAGTGTCATTCGAGGTCAACATCACAGCAGTGGCTTTCTGCCGGTGACGTTAGATTAGGTCTCGCGACTTACATATCTCAGCCAGGACGGCTGGCATACATCAAAGGCGACGTGAGGATAGTTCGGGGCCGTGTTAACGACCAGTCAAGGCATCGAACGTGGTTCGCTTTGACTTTAACGCCTATGCGTTTGTTTAGCGGATGGGGCACATAGTTTATCGGGTTTGAAATCTACACAATTTTCCAATTTCATTTCACCTCCAAATACTTTTGCGTCCCTCTCTGCGACGCCCAATACGACGGAACGGGGCAAACCGATAAGAGTTAAGCCTTTGATGAAAATGTATGTCACGCAAGCTTACACAAGTCGGCCATAAAGCAATGTAATGCTGCTTTAGGCTCCTCAGCCGGATAACAGATTATTGTTTAGTTGTTTAACCTGAACAAGGCGCATCGTACCGTGGGACGTTTGCCCATAGACGTCTTGATGGCTTGCTGAAAATGGATGTCGTTATCCATCGCCGACGTGTCCAGGGCCGCATTGTAGTTGTATCCAGAATACAGATCATCCGGATCCAGCATGGTGCGGTACCTCCAAATCTACGATATGTGTCCTGGAAAGAGGTACAAGATGCTGGATCATGGGCATGTCCTCAGCCCCCAACACGGATTTTTATTTTATTTTAAGAAATTTGATCCGAACCCTTCGAATGGATGGATTTCTGGGATCAGCGCTCACGCTAAGCAGTGCTTGTTGTGTGAACCCTTACCACTACCATCCGATCGCGCAATTCCAGGCAACGGCAGAATTTAGTGGCGAAAGCTTAATGTGCCGCAATGCTCGGCACGGTCCGTCCTGCCCTCTGACGTCAACTGACCTTTAATGCGACCGCTGCCACCGGCCGCAGGCCACACCTGTCTAGGACAAATAGCGAGCGCCTAAAGCGACTCGAACCCATCCTGCCACGGGTGGGTGAATCGGGAGGCAGGCGCTCTAACCAACTGAGCCACCGAGACGGACTACTGTTTCATGTAACAGCTGGCACAACACCCACGAGACACAAGATGGGCGCGAACAAAATTTTTGTGTCCCATCCTATTTGCATCCCAGATTTGAATGCCTCTCCGGATTTCGCCAGCCTCGTCTTCCAGGTGCTGCTGGCCTAACGCAACATCGATCAGAGAAACCAACCACAGCCCATCAGGTGCTTGATGAGAGGGGAGGCACCTTTGCAAACTGCCTGTGGCGGCGCCACTGAAATTATGGGCACCAGCTATTGGCCTCAGGCATGGAATACGTACCACTTCAATTGAAGGAATCAGGCAGATAAAACTGCAATCGCATGAGATGCAGTGTGGCACTCCAGGAGCAATGGATAATTGGTAGGAAGGCATGTAGATGGCCTGGCACAACCATGGTGTGATAACGCAGCAGGAAATGTATGACGACAGCCGCAATATCCTCTACATAAACACCACTTTAGCGTTTGTCTTTTGAGATTAAGATATGCTCCTCCGCTTGGGCGGGCGCACCAATTCTTTTCGGCATTCTACATTAGTGAGCGGAGTGAGCTATGAACGCATCCTGGAAAATATAAGCAAATAGTGGACAGGTTCTCGACAATTCAAAACCCGGTCAGGAGGTGCAGGAAGTGCGGCTTTTTTTTACTTGGGTACCTGTATTGCCGACGGTGGGGAGAGAGCTACGCTCGTTGCAGGGTTCCTGTACTGTCGTGGTCGAGATATGCTGTCAGGCATCAGCCGACGTAGTGACGTCACTGAAAATGGGTTTGCATCGATCAGTGTCCTTTTGGGCCGACTGAAGGCCACAAGGCATTTGCTAGCGATATGATGTCACTGGTATTCGACTGGACATGTGACGTCACTGGTTGTGAGGTTTTAGGGCTCTTTTGGGTGCCATGAATGCCGTAAAGCATCACCTGACGATATGTCGTCACTGGTATTCGATGAAACATCAGGCGCAACAGGCCTTATTCCATCTTTACCTTTCGTACCTGTCTGCTGCAAGCATTTGCGCGCCGAATAAAAGCTTGACCGAATCGCCTGAATGTGTGACGTCACTAATCATCACTTGATACGAGTGCACTTAGGCCCCACGGCCGCGGTGCATCATGTTCCGTGGAAGTAACGTGACGTCACTGATATTCGACTAAATATTGGTCGCAACAGGCCATGCTTCATTTTTACTTTCGTACCTGTCTACTACAAGCATTGGCGTGATGAGTGAAAGCTACAAAATTACCTGAGTGTGTGACGTCACTGGTCATGAGTTTTTATGGATCTTCGGGGCCAAATGAAGGCCGTAAAACATAATTCAACGGTGTGACGTCACTGGCATTCGACTGTGTGTGATGTCACTGGTGATCAGATTTTACGGCCTCTTTTGGGACGACGAAAGGTCATACGACATTAACTGAAGATGTGACACCACTGGTATTCAAATACAATTCAGGCGCGAGAGGCCGTGCTCCACCTTTACTTTTGGTACCTGTTCATTGCAAGCATTGGAATGCTGAAGGAAGGCTCTGCCGAATTACCTGAGTGTGTGACGTCACTAACCATTAATTTATATAGACTGCTTTGAACCCACCGTAAGCCACACCACATCAGCTGACCATATGAACGTCACCGGTTTTCGTCTAGATGTCATGCGCAGCGGGCCATGCTCTATCTTTGCCTTTCGTATCTGTCTACTGCAGGCATTCGCGTGCTATATCAAGGCGATGCTGGACCATCTGAGTGTGTGACGTCACCGGTCATGAGTTTAGACAGGTTCACTTGAGCCGCCCGATGCAACAAAGCATCATATCCCGTGAAGCATCGCGGGATGGTATGACATTACTGGTGTTCGAGCAAAAATCAAGCGCAACAGGCCACGTTCCGTATTTACCTTTCGTACCTGCCTACTGCAAGCATTCGCGTGTTATATGACGTCAATGGTTAAGAGCTCTTACGGGCTCTTTTCAACCCCCTATATGATATAATGCTTCAGCTGACGATATGATGTCACTGGTGTTCGACTTTAACATCAGGCACAACATGTCATGTTCCATCTTTGCCTTTCGCACCTGTTAAAGTATTGGCGAGCCTAATGATGGCTCTGTCGAATCACCTGAGTGCGTCGTCATGAGTTTTTACAGGCTATTGTTGGCCGAGTGAAAGCCATAAGGCATCATCTAACGATATGTCGTCACTGGTAATCCACTAAGTGTGTGACGCCATTGGTCATGACTTTTCCCGGGCCTTTTTCGGCCGACTTAAGGCCATTGGGCATCAGGTAACGATATGGCGTCATTGGTATTCATTTAAGCATCAGGTACAATATGTCAAGTTTCATCTTTACCTTCCGCACCTATCTACTGCAAGTATTCGCGCGCGACATAAAGGCTCTGCCCAATCACCTGAGCGTGTGGTGTGACTGGTTATGAGTTTACGCGGGTTTACTCGGGCTGACTGAAGGACATCAAGCATCATCTGGCGATGTGACGTCACTGGTATTCAACTTAACACCAGGCGCGACAGGCCATGTTCGTCTTTATCTTTCGTACCTGTCTATTGTAATCATTGACATGCTTAAGGAAAGCTCTGTGAAATCTCCTGAGTGTGTGATGTCACTGGTCATGAGTTCTTTATGGGCTGCTTTTTTGTACCTGTAGGGTACAAGACATCAGTTGACGATATGACGTCACTGGTGTTTGACTTAATCTCAGGCGCAACAGACCATGTTCCTTCTTTGCCTTTCGCACCTCTATCCTGCAAGTATTCGCGCGCTATATAAAGGCTCTGCCGAATCACCTGAGCATGTGGTGTAACTGGTCATGAGTTTACGCGGGCTTACTCGGGCTGACTGAAGGACATCAAGCATCACCTGACCATATGACGTCACTGATATTCGGGCTGTGGCCCAGACTTATGACCGCTAAGCGGCGCCCTTGATTATTATCTAGCCAGCAGGGCATTCCGGACCGTAGCTGCTCAGGGGCGCATCCTGTGATGTCGGGCGGAATAGCTTTGCATATACGTCGGTTTGTGGGCTGGGATCACCTCTGTTTGTGTTTACGTTTGTTCAAAATTTTAGTCGTTGAAACAGCCCGTTGCGTTTGAAGCTGCTACTTACTGGTGCGCACAATAAAATTAGTGTGCTTAACTATGGTGCATCTCCCACCTCTGCTGCGGAATTTCGTAGCCATAGGTGGCCAAGTGACCTCCTACCAACCGATGATCAGTGACGTCACGTACTCAGGTGATTCGGCGGAGCCTTCATATAGCACGCGAATATTTGCAGCAGCCAGGTACGAAAGGCAAATATGGAACATGACCTGTTGCGCCTGATGTTTAGTCGAGCACCAGTAACGTCATGCCGTCAGCCGATGCATTACAACCTATAATGGGTTCAAAAGAGCCCATAAAAACTCGTGACCAGTGACGTCACACACTCAGGAGATTCGACGGAGCCTTCATTCAGCACGTCAATACCTTTAATAGACAGGTACGAAAGGTAAAGAAAGTACGTGGCATGTTGGACCTGATGTTAAGTCGAATAACAGGGACGACATATCATCCTGTGATGATTTACGGGAGATGTTGCTTTGTGGCTTTGGGCGGCCCAAGTGAATCCGTATAAACTCATGACCAGCGACGTCACCCACTCAGATGATTCGTCTGGAATTTAGTCGATTACCAGTGACGTCATATCGTCAGCTGATGCTTGATGTCCTTCAGTCAGCCCGAGTAAACCTGCACAAACTCGCGACCAGTTATACCACACGCTCAGGCGAATCGACAGAGCCTTTTTGTAGCGCACGAATACCTGCAGAAGGCAGATGCGAAAGGTAAAGATGAAACATGGCTTATTGCAATTGATGTTAATTCGAATACAAGTGACGCCATAACGTTATCTGATGCCTAATGGCCTGAACTCGGCCAAAAAAGGCCCGTAAAAGCTCATGACCAGTGACGTCACACACTCAGTGGACTACCAGTGACGTCATTTCGTTAGCTGATGCCTTATGGCTTTCGCTCAGCCAAAATAGTCGTAAAAATTCATGACCAGTGACGTCGCACACTCAGGTGACTCGGCAGAGCCATCATTTAACGCACCAATACTTAACAGGTACGAAAGGCAAAGATGGAACATGACCTGTTACGCCTCATGTTAAGTCAAACACCATTGGCATCACGTCGTCAACTGATGCATTTTTCCCTATAGAGGGTTCCAAGGAGCCAGAAAAAAACTTATGACCAGTAACGCTACACACCCAGGAGACTCGACAGAGCCTTCATTCAGCACGTCAATGCTTGTAATAGACGGGTACGAAAGGTAAAGATAGAACATGGCCTGTCGCGCCTGATGTTAAGTCGGACATCAGTGACGTCATATCGTCAGCTGATGCATTATACCGTTTGGGGGTACGAAAGGTCCCGTAAAAGCTCTTGACCAATGACGTTACTTACTCAGGAGACTCGACAGAGCCTTCATTCAGCACGCCAATACTTCCAAGAGACAGGTACGAAAGGTAAAGATGGAACATGGCCTGTCGCGCCTGGAGATTAGTCGAATACCAGTGACGTCATATCGTCAGCTGATGCTCGATGTCCTTCGGTCAGCCCGAGTAAACCCGCGTAAACTCATAACTAGTTACACCACACGCTCAGGTAATTCGGCAGAGCCCCTATGTGTCGCGTGAATACTTGCAGTAGATAGGTGCGAAAGGTGCAGACGAAACATGGCTTAGATAGAGCATGGCCTGTTGCGCATGATGCCTAGTCGAAACCCAGTGACATCATATCGTCAGCTGATGCCTTGTGGCCTATACTAGGTTCAAAAGAGTATACAAATTTATGGTCAGTGACGTATACACTCAGGTAATTTGGCAGAGCCTTCCACGGCAATGCTTGCAATGGACAGGTACCAAAGATAAAGGTGGAACATGGCCTGTCGCGCCCGAAGTTCATTCGAATACCAGTGACGTCACATCGTCAGTCAGTGCCGTATGACCTTTCGTCGGCCCAAAAGAGGCCGTAAAATCTCATGACCAGCGACACGCATGGTCGAATGCCAGTGACGTCACATCGCTAGCTGATGCTTTATGGCCTTCAGTTGGCCGCAAAAAAATCCGCCAATACTTGCAGCAGACATGTACGAAAGGTATAAATGGAGCATGACCTGTTGGCTGATGTTCAGCCAAATACCAGTGACGTCATATCGCCAGCTGATGCCTTACGGCATTTCGTCGGTCCTAGAGGACACGTGGAAACCCACGACCATTGACGTCTTACAATCGGTCGTATAGCAGTGACGTCGTTAGCTGACACCTTGTGGTCTTCAGTTGGCCGAAAAGCACCGGTGGAACTCGTGACCAGTGACGCCACACACTCAGGTGGTTCGGCAGCTTCATCCAGCACGCCAACGCTTGCAGTAGACAGATACAAAGGTAAAAATAAAGCACGGCCTGTTGCGCTCAGTATTATTCGAATACCAGTGACGTCACGCTATCCGGTGATACTTCGCAGACCATGACACACCGTGGTCGTGGGACCTAAGTGCACCCGTATGAAGTGATGATTAATCGAATACCAGTGAGGACACATGGCCAGCTGATGCATTACGGCATTCAGTGGACCCAAAAGAGCCTTACAAACTCACGACCCGTGACGTCACATACCCAGCCGAATACCAGTGACATCATATCACAATCAAAAGCCTTATGGCCTTCAGTCGGCCCGGAAGAACCCCCATCCCGATCGATGCAAAACCATTTTCAGTGACGTCAAAATGTCAGCCGATGCCTCACAGCTTTTCCCCGCACGACAATACTCGAAACCCTGCAGCTAGCGTAGCTCTTCCCTCCGTCGGCCATACAGGTACCCAAAGTAAAAAATTACCCGAAGTGCTACGCTTCACAGGCCTGAGCCGGACTGAAATAAAAACTTTAAATCACATAATGCAAACATCATGACATTCAGCTTACTTGTCTCAAGTACAATTTCTATTTGAAGGCTGGGATTAAGGTATGTGCCAGAGGGTACGCGGGCAGCATGAAATGATTATTGACAACTAACTCATTTTAATGCTGTTTCAAACTATATTGCTTCAGCTGCCTTGCACGAGAACGCCTGCACTACGATCCTGCACTGACATAGCAAACCTTGTTCGCTATGCGAGACCTGGAGTTGTGCAATGTGCAAATTGGAGCCTAGCTGAAAGTTACGGGAGTTCCCCGTCCCTACCTCACCACGGCTATCCTCCCCCACCAATCCTCTACGGCAAACTTACCAAATGTTAGCTTGACTGTCGGTTGACTCGACTTCCGGGATGCCCGATCACGCTTCGGATTCAAAACACCAGTGGCACCCACCTGGCACCCTGCCTGCTTCAAGTTACAGCCCTGAGGAAAGGCTACGACACATATTTTATCGCGCAACGTACCACAAGCAAATCCATCTAAACTGCAAAACTCGTGCAAGCTCCCACCGGCCCTACTCACCAAAATCCGTACGCTCTTGGACACAAATACAGCAGGCGAAGCGGGTTTTGTTGTCTGCTGACTGTAGCCATGGAAACAACATTCCATCCATTTATCTAGCACTCTATAAAATACATCCCGTAAGTCACTGTAATATGACACTACAGCTTAAAAAACAGTTAATTAGAGCCTCATTGACTCTACAAAAATAAATTTATGTAATAACAATGACAACAATGTCGTCTTTCTTAAGTTGTTTTTACCAAGAAATAATACCCTTGAAAATAATTTGTGAATACATTTATCACGGGTGTGAGACATTCGAGTGAAAATTCTGTTCCATTGAGGGGGTGCCTCGCAAACACATTTTGCAGTCCTAGGGCCTGGGATATTCCACAAATATCTTTACGAATCTGGTGGTGGTGATCTCTTGTCCTGTTGGCCCTATTTTTCGCCTTTATTTAAGTGTTCAGCTGTGGACAGTGGTTGGCATCAAATTGTGTACGTTGTGTGACATTGCTTCGATCCTATCAACGGGTAAATATAAAATGGCAACTGTCCAGATCCTGTGACATCGCTTCACGGAAATACTCCATATTTGTAGGGAGTTTTAAACTAAAGCAACCATCGTGAAGATCATTTGGTGCAGTTCACAGCCCTCCCCATCATTAGACTGAAACCTTCTAAGTTTCTCAGCTACATGCCCACAATGATGTGCAGTCTTTTTCAAGGTGACTACTTCTAGGTCACTCAGACATCCATGACACCATAACATTTCCATTCAAATCCTGTCATTCCAGTAGCCATGTGGTCATCAAGGCCAAGAGCAGTGTAATTGTTCAGATATTCATCTGGCATTTGTTAGACAATTTGCAAACATAGCAGCCATCAATTGGCTGGGCTCTCAGCCCATGTTGTGATCTGGTACTTGCTTTAATATGTTTAAACCTGGAACATAAAATATAATATTTATCCCACTTCATCATTCATCTCCCAGCACTCAGCTCTTGTTCAGGAGCAAGAATAGGATTGAGCTGACATGAGTTAGTGCCTTCCTTTAGTACATACCTAGACACCAGTCTGGAAAAAACTAATACACTGCCAGATGCCTATGTGATGTCAGTGTGCTGAAGGTACCACTCTTATGTGCCAAACTTGGGCTGGATCAAAGCGAGCTGAATTTTCACGTGATTTGGGGTGTGAGTAGTGCAGTGGTTAATGCACCTGCATTAACCACTACACATGCGGGAAACCAGAGGTACAGGGTTTGATTCCCTTTGTTGCCAGCCCTTACTGCCAGGGTAAGAAACCGGCAACACCATATAGCCCCAGTAGCTGAATGTGTCATAAAGCTCCAGTGATACATATGCACACTCACAGCATTACTTTGTGGATAAGATGTTTTCAGTATTTTTGACTTAGATTACCTTTGCATCATACCAGTTTGGGAAATATTGACTCTGTGTTCTGAAATTAGCACTGACCACACTCTGTATGGAGATTGGCACTCACTCTGTGTGAACTTAAGTGTTCTGATTGGCGGCATATGTGCTGAAAGCTGCTGCTGCATCTGCAAATGATAGCTTGCTGGCACAATGGCACTGAAATAAGTCCTATGTCATAATGTGGCTGATAAACATTTAATTACTGGCCACTCTGCAAAATTCATCCATTGTGCCAGGCTCCTAATCAAAATCAGTCCACTGAACCCAGGGCATGAGTTTGATGATGTGAAGCCAGGCCAAAACACAATTAATTTTCAGTTTTCATTTTGTTTGAGCTAATATTTTGGAGTAGATGTTTTTCCCAGACATTACCCATGCAAAATCATGATTCTTGGAAGCATTGGCTCACCATGCACTGAAACTAGTGATGGCTATGATCCAAGCTCCTGAGAGCTCATATTTTTGGTGTGCATGATCTGAAATGGTTATTTTATCTAGCATGCATTTTTCTGCATTACTGCCTCACATAATGTGGTCACCATTTATTGTACTGTTTGCCATTTAAAGTCAAGGTTTTTATTCTTTGGAATAAAGTTGATTTAGGGCTGCCAGGCTGGTCCAATTTTTCTGGCAGATGGGATGGAGACTAGCAAGGCATGAAAGATACAAAACTAGCAAGATGATATCATCTGTCCTTTTTTACAATGTGACATTAGGTTTTGCCTATAAGGATTCAAAGTTTTGTGTCAAGTTTGCATCAGAACAGCAATGTCACATTTTGTTCACCCATAAGGCTTTGAAAAAATTGTGGCAAGTTTGTATGAGACAACCAAATATACTCAAAAGGTCAGAGATAGCATGTTATGATTAATGTGTGATGTGACAGATTCTATTCTGTCCATCCTAAACAAATGGTAATGTTGTAACTAAAACATGATAATACATTTTGTATCAGCATGCATATCCAATCAAAACCCACCACACACAAGCTGATTTTTCTTTTCAGATTTGTCAGCTGCTCAAAATGGAAAAGTGAAAATTCTCTGTTAAATGTGGCCTCAGTAAAAACCCCAGCAGAACAAACAACTTCAGCAGCAAGATAGAAGTCATGGTAAGCATGGAGTGTCTGCCTTTACATAGAAATATGTATCCAGTTATGATTTATGCCTGAAAAGACTGATTCTGACTGACTGACTGCTAATCTGCTGCTATCTAAATCTAAAAAGACTGCTTATCTACTATGGGATGAGTACTGTTTCAGAAGGGTAAAATATGGTCACAAATTATGACACCCTTGCTGAGGGTTTAAGCATTGCATTTTAAAATGGACAAAATGACAGGACACTAATGATTTTCGTGCATGGCAAGGAATGCATTGACTGTGATAACAGTTCCCCACGTATGTGACAATGTCAGTCCTCCCAAGTTGGGTGGGGCGGGGGGGGGGGGGGGTGCAATCCGTGTGGTCATTGCCGTGAGGGCTGCTGTTAAATTGTCAGAATTTGTGACTCAGCTTCCCGAGACCCCTAGCTCTTGCGATCCAGCCCATGTGAAGAAATCGAGGCACTGTGCATGCAATGCATGAGGTGGCACACTCTTTTGTTGAATGCCAGGAGCTGGAGTTGTCATTTTGGCGGCTAGAGGCCAGAAAGCTTTAGCCGGACACTAAACCCGGGCGGGCCGCGATCGTGGTCCGCATGGTTAATCGCTGCCTTATTTACTATCTGTTTGTAGACACGCAAACAGTCGTTCATCACTGCACTAGCCGTCCCCCTGATAGAGGCATGAACAGCCCTGGGTGAAGGGAACCGACAAAGGAAGCAGCAAAACGAAACCGCAGGATGCGCCTCGAGCCAAGTTATAGGGTTGCCCTGGCCCCAAGCACGGGTTTGGGCACATCTCGTGTCATTGACTGGACGTACGTGTCATTGCTGGGACGTACGCAAGCTGCGAAGCTCTGGTGATGACAAATCTCATTCCGAATGAGGTATGTTTGAGGTGCAAAGTTTTAGATTCCCGCCTCAAATGCAAGCATTTTCACTAGACAGACATCAGACGGCCCACGTTGTCGTCATATCGGAGAGCCCTTTACAGCTCATAGCTCAATATTAAGGGTCATCATGTCCCCAATAACGGCGAGCCTTCGTTTCGGTGTCCCAAAGTTGCACTTTCACCGTACTGATCCCATGACTAAACCACACGCCTAGATCACTCAGTGGCTTCCCGTTCGTATGCGCTTCTTTTTAATCGTGACGCACGATTGCAAATTGAAACTTAATGTTTTCGTAAACTGTGCGAGTTTCCGTCTACAATTTCAGGAAGGAACTCTGTCCAGTACACAGTTCTGGCAAACAGCATTACATTCTGAGACAAAGCTCGACGTCTGGCCTGCTATGGCAACGCCCCTCCCCCCTCCCTCTCCCCATCCCGCTGCTAAGTTCAAACAGGGCTTGAATGGGGCACCCCACAAATCCCCCGGTACCCCTTGAAAGCTTTTGTCCACTTTCTGTCTATTCTGACGTACCTTAAGCCTCTTCATTTTTGTTGGCTGTGCTATTTTTGTTCGTTGACCTTTCCATTTATTTTCCACTCCGCTTGTCGCTTGGAAGCCACATTCGTTTTCTTTTTGAATACATGAAATTATTTACATGATACACATGTTTACATGACATGATACGAGCGGCGAGTTGGCGTGGTTGTTTGTGTCGAAAGGGACGGTCATAAATACATGAGTGTATTTGAATTGCAGTATGGCATTGTACATCAGTGCACGTACACTTAACATATGTAGCGAAAAAAACTTGCTTCGATCAAACAAATGTATCATTAGCGATGGCCGTCAAACAATGAAGTGAGGGAGAGTGAACGAACAATGATGGCACAAAGCTGCATAGACATGGAAAGGCGGCAGTCCGTGCTGCATCACGAGTGAATACTCTATCTTTACTACGCTTCGACACTCAGTCTGAGACCAAAGGACCACATTTCACTGCACCAAGCTCTGACAATAGCAAAATCTCATCTCGTCAAAGCGCTGCTTCAGGCAGTCGCTCTGGCCGCGGTAGACGTCCAGCCGGGACACGTCCACCACCGAGAGCAACTCCTCGGGTGGTGCAGACCCGCCCCGGCTGCGCACGGTGGCCTCGAACTCTCCCAGGCCGGGCGTGGTGACAAACTGCACCACGTACTCCTCGAACGCCTGCACCTGGTAGGCCGTGTCCTTGACGACGCCCTGCGGCTGCGACAGCCGGTGGAAGGCGCTGGTGACGCTCAGCAGGCTGAGCTGGGCGCACTGAGAACGCACCGCCTCCAGCTTCACCGTGTTGATGTGTTGGACGGCGGCGGTGGCGGCCCGCTGCACCACAGCCGCGTGCACCGGCAGAGGCCGCCGGCTGCGGCACACGCACCAGTGCGTGCTGATGCCGGCCGCCTCGCACGACCGCTCGCTCGGCACGGCCCGCAGCAGGCTGACGCCGCTGTTGGCGGCCGGCCGCGGCGCGGCGCCCATGTCGGCCAGCAGGTGGCGCAGCGTCGCGTGCGCGTCGAAGAAGGTGGTCAGACGGCGGGCGTTGGCGCGCAGGTGCCGCACGCGCTGCGGGTACCGCACCGCGTACCACGGCGGCAGCAGCACGTAGAAGAACGGCATGCGTGACTCGTAGCCGCCCAGCTCGGTGCGCATCACCGGTCCGAAGCGCATGCCATGGTCGCTGAAGAAGAGCATGATGGACGAGTTGTATCGTTCTGTGTCCTTGTACCAAATCAGAAACTGGTGGAGGCGGTCCTGCATGTCCTTGACATAGGTCAGCGGTCCTTCGTGACTGAGAGCACTGCTGAATAACAGCGCAAACTGAGGAGTGGTGGCCTCGTTCATGAAGTCTTGTAGCAACTGCAGTTGGAAATCGATTTGCGGTCTTTTGTTGATGCATAAAGTTTTCCGGCTTTTCACGTACGAAGAATGTTCGATGGCTTGGTAGAGAGGTCTCAAGTAATAGTCTGTGGGGGTTCTGTAGAAGCCTTGCTTCTTGTAGTTGAATGTTGCGATCTCAGGGGTGTCTTCATTGAACATGGTGATGTAGCCCAATCGGGAGAATTCTTTCCAAATGAATGGAAGGTCATCGAATGGCTCTTTTCTCAGGGATTGGTTCAACTGATCCATCTGTAGGCCACTAAGGAAGGCCAGCATGTTTGGGAAAGTGTTGACGCCTATTTTGTTAAGACCCATCATCGGAATTCCGTGAAATTTGTCGATCAAAAGCTTTTCAATGTTGGGCAAGAAACGTCGAAAGTTAAGCCTTGAAACGGAGTCAAGGCCGATGAGATAGACGTTGAGCACCTCATCATTTTCGTTTTGTCTGGTTTTGTTGGAAGGTATTGAACTCCCTGACACTTTTTTTGGGATGATGAATGCACGAAAATCTTCATGAACAGTAGCATTATTGTGGGTACAAAAACATCTGATATGAATGAACTCTTCCTTTACTCTGAGCATGTGCTCCCCTTCGAAGCAAACGAGCTTTGTGCCGAATTGATAGTTGTCGTCCGAATGCCCTTCATCCGCCCTCGAGACATTTCTATAACAGCACTCGGGCTCACATGGCTGTTTTTGCACGTTTTTGTCTTTAAACATGAACAGCATGCTGCCGTGCTGCTGTATTTCCACAATGGATTGCTTATGGCATCCGCGGAACGGCGTCTCGTTACTGATAACTTGTGCAATACTCTCATCCCAAGGGTCAAAATCTGGGATCTCGCAAGAACTGGATTTGACAAGCCACCCGGTGATGTAAGGATATTTTGCAGGCGGGGGTGTGGGAGACGGTTTAGGGACATGAATGACAGCAACACGTTCCTTTTCTTCTTTTGCGTACCACAAGACGCAAATCAGCATGAAACACACCAAACCGATCGTGATTTTCAACATCTGGGTTTGCCTGTTCACATGATGAGTCCTTGAACATGCCATCCTCTTCCCCATGACACATAGTTTTAAAGCCTTGTGAGCCATGGATTTTCTATACCAGAATCCTTAGCCTGAGAGGTGTAAAAGACTGGCTCGTTGAATCCCCGCGCGTTTGTTTTGCGCACCGGCAGACGCTCCGCCAATGTTGACACCGTCGGTGTTATCACTGGGAGTCCGTGTTGATCGATGGGCCGACCGATCACCGCCGTATCTTGCCGAAATTTGGCTACTGCTTCGCAGGGGTTTGGCGCTAATCTTTCTTCACTCCGATCATTCGACTCACGAGGAAAGCGACCTGAAATAAGAACGGCACCGTGAAAGAAAAAGAAGCGAATGCAGTACGCAGTTTTCATTCAACCTTGAACGCAACTAATAGCTCGTGCACCACTTGCGGGCACCTCCGCTTCTAAGTTCTTGTAAATGATTTCTAATTTGTGAGCGAGAGCTCTTATTCTTATTCTGCTACTAACTCACATTCAGTATACTACACGAGTTGCTGGGTGAACGACGTTATGAACAAAGTATTGGCTATATTGGCAAAACTAGACGTCGCGAGCTGTGCTCGGAGTCACGACTACCTGCCAATGCCGGGAACCTCGTGACCAAGAACGGGTTGCGGACAAAGACACGTATAGAACAACGTCGCTGGACACTTTTTTCTTGGGATAAAATCGGAATGCTGAAGGTTCGTTTGGATAAGGACGTATTGGGTGAAGTAAGTGAGGTCAAAAGGTCAGATACAATTAGGCTCGCATTGCATAAGGTTCGTCGGGAAAAAGTTCGCGACGAAATCTTCGTGCTCGCCAAAGTCCACGCGGAAAAAATTAAAAGGGTCATACCCAACAGTTCGCAAATGCAGGTCAAAGGTAAAATTCCTTTGGAAAAAGTGCGTTGGCAGCAGTTCGTATGCAGATGCCCAATGTAAGTTCGAATGCAGATCCCATTCTTGGGCCGGGCCTCGGATGAAATGTGGCCGCGGAGCCACCACCACATCACACCGACGACGCAGGGCGGGCAGCGGGGGAGGGAGGGGGGGGGGGGGGGGCAGGAGATGGCATTAGACAGAGGCAGTTGCACAGGTCAGGTCAGACTAGCCTAGCTCGTCGTGACATGAAGTTAAATGCCACCGGCGGCGAGGACATTAATATGAATCAATGCATGTGAGCAGCTTAAACTTGTCCCGGGTTGGATGCGACTGTAGGTTGAAAAAAGCACGTCAACTGCAGATTAACCGCCGTGTTTGCTGTGTTTAGCCTTTATCTTCCACCCTGATGCCGCCTCTGTGGCGCCATCAGCCTGGCCATGGGCGTAGTTTCGCGAAATGAGTTTGGGCCGAACAGTGAAAAATGACTGAACATACCCCAAAATACGTCAGCAAACGGGTTTCACCCGGTTTTGGTCTTCTCAAAGCGTGGTTGGAAGAAGGGTGGAGCTGGAGTCCATGACAGGGGAGAGGAGGGGAGGGGAGAGCTGAAGCTCGAAATTGAATTGGAAACTACACGCCTGCACCTGACGCCCTTTGAGCGCGCCACTGACTCAAGCCGACGGTCGCACGGGAAGTCAGCTGCACTATTGGAGGATGGTGGGCAGACGCGCGCTTGATGTTTGGTCTTTGTCAAGTAGCTTTGATTGCGTAAAAAAGTAACCCGTTACGTGGAGAGAAAGACGTACCTGCTGTACCCTCTTGGCTGCATCTTGGCTCGTAAGGGTGCCGATAACGTAGTGGTTAACGCGCCTGCGCTGACGTGTGACGCCGCGAATGACGAATGACGCCCGTGCCAGTGGAGGGGACTAGCACGACGAAATTTTAAAGCCGCTGTTGAGAACGTATGAATATATGTGGAAAGGTGACTGCACCGTGAATGACCGTGAGAAAAGGAAGTAGTGTGATAAACATGATGAAAGAGCTTAGATCGTTAAGACCAGTGAGAGGAATGACACTTCTGTGTGGGGGACTGACGGACGAAGAACAATTTGTCAAATCATAATTACAGCAGTCACCTAATGTTGAAACCAAAGACGGACTACGAGTAAAGTCTAAGGCAGTAAAGCGAAGCACCAAGAGCTCCCGGACCACCTCCATTCTTCTCCCAAGGCCCGAAAGACCCTAAAAAGTAAATGACTGAAAATTTGCAAACATTGCACAAAGCATGGCTGCGCAGCGCGCACCGCGTTGTAAAGCTATAAGTATATTTCTAAATCATCTCAAAGAATAGACGGAGGTAATGGCGTCGGCCTGTGTAGGTGCTGAACTTTCGGCTTGTGGTGAGACATCAACCACTCGATAGACTTTGTCATGTCATGCATATCATACCATGCGTGGATAAATTTATGACAAAGTAGTATAGCAAGGTACGAATGGTGCCACATCATTTTCGCCAATATTAGTCTGTACATCTCTGGCCTATCAATACCCTAATGGCTGTGCTGGGCATGCAACCCTTGCAGAGGAAAGCTTTGAGACACGAGCACATGCTAAATTCGGCAGTGACTGGTCCCATTGGCCATCTTACACTCGCTAGCACCGAGCTTAAAAGCGCTCGCACTGGAGAGCCTCGGTACATGGCACGTGCTGAAGAGAGGACGGGCGCGTCAAACCAGCCCCCTTCACCACCTGAGAGACCGCTAGCGCTAGTGACACTGGATAAATTAAAAACCGATTTGTGAATAAGCTTATCATAGACTTGGTTCAGTTAGTGAAAGGAAGATTTTCGTAGCAAAGATTTGCATACAAAACCTTGGATATATACCAAAGGCTACATGTACCGAACCAGACAAATGCCGTCCCCATGATGAGGTGCTGGGTGACGCACAAACATCTGTGCAGCTGGCTCACACCGCAGGCACGGTCGTCTCCCCGCGACTACTGACATCCGACCCTGAATCCCGGCCGGCGGCGGTCCCGGGGCGCAGCCAGCGGGCGCTCACTTGTCCAGGCAGAACGCGCAACGGACGCGCGCGGCTTCCGCCTTCAGCACGTAGACGAACGGGCCGGCAGAGACCAGCAGCTGATCACGGCGCACGTGCGGCTTGTTGGCCGCGCGCAGTACGCCCTTGACGGCCAGCGGCGGCGGCGGCGCGGTGGCGTGCCAAGGATCCGCCATGGCCTGGTCACGGTGGTGGCATGGGCCGGGTTGCGGGGCGGCGCGGGCGGCGTGTCAGAGGCGCGCGGGGGCAGGCGACGACAGGCACTGAACGGCCGACAACACGAGCCCTTGGCACCGAGCGACACCAAGCCTTCTCCATTTAATGTCGCTTGGTCGATAACCTATCTTTTTCAGACGATAGTGCCCTGGAGCCAGGTCAAAGGTCGCCAAAAATGCCAAAAACCGGAGTACATTTGGCACACAACCCCATGCTCCCAGCCTGCAACACAGACCGCCACAAGCCTTCACCAGTGGATGCACGATGGTCGATAAATATGCTTTCCAAAACGTGGTGATCCTGGGTCACGTCAAAGATCACAAAAAACGCCAAAACCCATCAAAATTGGGTGCAGACGATCCGATGTTGCGAGGCTACGGGACGGATGGGTACAAAATATTTACCAATCGATGCGCTATGGCCGATAACCTATTAATACGAGACCACGGTGACTCCGGGTCAAGTCAAAGGTTTCCACAAAGCACCCGAAGCCAGAAATTAATGTGCAAACAACCCATGCTCCGAGCTTATGGGACTGATCGGCACGGACTTTCACCAATCGAGACATCATGGTTGATAACCTAACCTCTGCAGAACATGGTGACCTGATGTTGGGTCAAAGGCCACAAAAACGCCTGAAACCGGCAAAAATCACTCGGCTTTGGTGTGCCGACTGGTGAAGATTTCGTGCCGATTGGTCCCGGAGGCTGGAGACATGGCTGTCAAACTTATTTCCGGTGGTTTGGGCTTTTCTAATGACCTTTGACCGGATCAAAGGCCATCATGCTCTGAAAAGGATAGATCGTCGGCCATAGCGCATCATGTCACGTCACTGGGGCTTTACGACACGCTCAGCTGCTGAGGCTATAGGGCGTCGCCAGCCTCTCACCCTGGCAGAAGCGGCGGGCACCGCCCTTCCTACCAGGGTGAGAGGCAGGAGTTACCTTTAAATTTATAAAGGCCAGGTTCACCTTTATATTGGTCACTCCAATAGGCTGAGAGCATGGAATTTCCAACTGTTTTTTTTTGCTTTGCATTTTTGGTGATATTTTTAAGATTTAATCCAAGCCTTTTGAATGGATGAATTTCTGGAATCAGGCCTCACGCTAAGCAAAGCTTGTTGTGTGCGTACTGAACCCTGCCATGAGATCGTGGAACTCCTGGTTCATGGCAGAATAAGGTGGCGAAAGCTTAACCGGCCGCTGTGCTCAGCACGTTCCTCCTTGCCCTCTGGCGTCATCTGGCCTTCATCGCGGCCGCTACCACCTGTCACGGGCCATACCTATCAAGGGCAAATAGCGACCGCCTAAAGTGACTAGAGCTCACCCCACCACGGATAGGTGAGTCGAAAGGCAGCTGATCTAACCAACTGAACCACTCGGGACCCTTGACCTGACCACAGGCCACCATTTTCGGCAAAGATCGGTTATCGACCAGGCAGCACCAAATGCTGAGGGATTAGTGTCGATCTCTCCCATAGGACCGACCGGACCGACCAATCGGATGGGTCCCATGGGCTCGGAGCATGGAGTCGTCAACAGGTTTTGTCGACCGTTGAGTCTCTGCCCGGCGAGCGAGGCGCG